TTAAAGTGTTGGAACAGAAATTTAAATTTGACAGACTGTACTGAGATATCCGCTGAGTGTTATGTTGTCCATTCACTATATCTGTTTGCAGGCCGATCGCCGTGTTTTCCATCCTTTTTTTTGTGATTTTCGGATCATGTGGTCTTTGGATGTATGTGAAATACCGCTCTACGTCGCATTGGTGTGTACGAAGTCCTTACATTTTTACGATTGCATGGATCGCGTTTGTTTGTGGTGTAGGCAGGTGAGTCTTTAGTTGTACTCGTAGCAGTTGCCCATGGTCTTTACTAAGCTTATTGGTTTGAGTAATACTGTTGTGCCTCCCAACGGTTTACCGCCTCATCGTGGCTGGGAAGTGTTCCCGGGTGTCCACCTACGATGGCGAGGAGCGCGTACAGCGCGAGGATTCATCTCCCAGCAGAGTCCTGAGAAGAAGTCTGGCGTTTCCATCAGGAAGCCCAGATAAGACTTAACCATTACCAGGATCCGCTACCGTCCTGGTATCAAACTTGTCGCATGGTGGCAAATCTCCCTCTGATCGACAAGGTCGGTGACTACCTGGGATAGACTTTGGCCAGGCTACCCCGGTCTCCAAGGAACCACAATGGCTAAACCAGCAAATCTCCGAAGAATGGCGATTATGCTGAAGCCCGCACAACCAGTGAAAACGGGCTATTCAAGCATCGAAATAAGTAGGTAACACTGTTCTGCATGAAGCTGTTGTTATACATCACAGTTCAAACTTCATCAGCACACCTCTTTTCATGAAGCTGTAAACTATTTGGGGAATTTGGAACTATTGTATACAGTGAAGCTGTGGTTTACATATCTTTCACAAATAGATAGTCTTTTTCATACTTGAGGAAAACGCGAAAGTGTAATAGTATTCGCGTAAGGTGACTTCCTCATAACATTTTCACTTTGAACTTCATTGTTCCATTCATCTGGAAAGACCAATTGCTAACCAATTTTAAGAAATCTTACCGGTCTTGATTAATATGTGAACCTCCTTCTTTTCCCAACTTGGTGTTTTGTTCCTATATATTACTTTTATACTTTTAATAGCAATTTGCTCAGTTTCTCCGTCTCAACGTGGTCATTGTTTGGCTGGTGGTCACTCTATATTGCTGGAGTAACTCTAATGTTCTTCATTTCGATTGCGCATTTATTTTGATGGTTTTTCTCTTTTCTGTTCATTTTTCTACTTCAGCGCCATGATTTCCGTAATGCTTTTGAAATTATATGTTCTAAATTTTACTACGTTGTATCACTCACTGTACTGCTATGTCTGTAGGAACTTAGTTGTTTTGTGCAACAGGTCGTTTACTCTATTGGTAATGGCAGTACTTAATATATGCTTTGTTGAAGATATTGTTTATACCTTCTACGTTCTACCGTAATCAAATGCGAAACGATATCGCTTCGCTAATCTCAGAATTTATTAGTCCTTTATGTTATGTAGCAAATTAAATACGCCCTGTCCGAAGTGCTGTTTTGTGTGTTTTTTTGAACTTTATCGATTTTACTAAAACGTGTTGTTTGTTTCGAATTTTAGTGGATAAGTGGACATTATTTTGTTGGTAGATTGGTGAGCCGTTCTAACAGTTCTGGAACGTGTTCTGAATCCAAGACAATAAGAACGCTGCAGTAAATTTACTGTGTGCCATGAAATCTGTTAATCTACATTAGCTGCTGTGCATTACCTTATATCAGGCCTCTAAGAAACCTACAAAACACCAAATATGGAGTAAGGATTTATCAAGATCTACCAAACAGACAGAGATGTATTCACGACGTTCGTAAGTGCGTTAGGGAAGCTTATCAACTATGAGGACGCAAGACGCTTGGTTGCTGCAGTGGATAACGCGTTAGCTCCGACAAGGGTAATCGAGGGTTAGAAGCGCATTCAAGGTTCTGAGTTTGCTCACATCAGCGTCCTTGTGATTGTATTTCACATGATGTCCTACCATAAAAAGGAATAGCTAGTAAGTAAGAGTTGAAGCATTGTGATTTCGACCACAGGGTAAGCTTAACTATAGTACAGTGCCGATTTGTTTTAGCCAGGTCATTCCCGTTAACCTTCGAATGATGATAGCACCGTTAATTTAAGAAAAAATGGTTGAGAGAAAGGTAAAGCTAAAGCCTGGGTTGCTGCTGTGAGTGGCACTTGAGTCCCGGAAAGGCGAATTGCGGGTTCGAAGCGCACTTAAGTTTCCGCGTTTTGCTCATATTTCAGCTTCGTTGTGGTTGCATTTATAATGCTTAGTGAATCATTGTAGGCTGTGTCGAACGGAAATGCTGGTGATGAAGCCATTAGCTTGCTAATTTCATAGAAGAACTTATTTGACACAACGGAATAACATGAAACTGTTTCGACGATCGAAGTGCGTTTCAACGTGCTTAAGAATTTGTTGTGGCGTAGTATACTGAGGTCGACGTGTGTCATTCTATCTCCGTTTATTTCTCAGCCGTCTTTTAACTAAGTTTCCAGTTCGTTTTGAATAGGCTACTTGATAACAACTCAGAATAGAAAATCTAGTTATCTCTCAGCTTCTTACAGGAACTCGTACATGGTATGAGAACACCTACTTCAGAGAATTTCATCGGAATCTCAAACGGTGACGCATACTAATGAGGTTGATTAATAAATCGAATCTTGTCTTCCCAGCGTATTTTCATTTTCGGCTTGATCCGGCTTTAGTTACATAAAAGCTCTAAAAAAGCTCTCGGCGTTGATCAAACCCTGAGAGATGCGCCATGCATTCTCCTTCATTAAGTATCGTTGGAGGTGATTGAATGCATATCTGGCCTTTACAATGACTCGCGGTGACCTGCCGATGCATCGAGGCAGTGCTGCTATGCTCCAAGAGAAGTCCGATACCAATTTGCTGAACCCGGAGGGATGGAGGGCTTGGTGAGCCATGGGTGAGGGGATCGATTCCACGTGTGTGTCGTAGTGGCGCCTCCAACCACTGCGCCACACGCGCTTCAGTTAAATAGCATAACAAAAGTTAAACAGCTTATGTTATGCTGTCGCGAATGCTATTTTAGTAATTCGTTTCGGGGAAAGCTTGCTCACTGTTAGTTAATACTCGCACTGGGTCTCACTCATAGAGGGATCTCATGCCTCTTAGTGGCGAGGCAACGTGGCGCGTCTCCAGGTTGTGGATATCGGGTTAATCGAGGTCAAAAAATGACATTCCTTTAGCAAGAAGCAGACGTATCCAGGAAATGGACTTGCTGCTTCTGTTGCGCCGATTTGTCATATATCTTCTGTGTTTAAGAAGACGGACTCACGCATACAAAGCCTCGTGTGGCGCGGTGGTCGGAGGTGCACTGCAACATGCAACACACACGTGGAATCCATCCTCGCGCCCATGGCCTCCTTCTCTCTGGGGTCGCGAATTGGTACCAAACTTGTCTGGGAGGATAGCAGCACCGGCTCTATACATCGGCAAGCTACAGCGAGTTATTGTAAAGGCCACGTATGTATTCAATCACCTCCAAACGATGCTTAATGAAGTCGAATGCATGGCGCATCGCTCATGGATTTATAACGCCGAGAGCTTCATTCTTTATCTTTTTTTTCACGCATGCATGCATAGATGTGTTCTAGTTTATGCGGATTATATTTTACGAGTCAGTTCGATCAAAAGAGTGCAATGAAGTGACAAAGAACTAGATGAGAGGAGGTTAACAGTCGCCCCAACAAATGAGCTCCCTCGTCCATTCTACGAGAGACTGGCAAACTACATGTGAGCACTCACAACAACCACGTTAAGAGCTCGGCAAGCTATACATGAGCGTCAACGCTGAACAATGTAAAGTAAGCAGGCATCATTTCGCTGACACCGAAAGAGCCTCCGATACGGCTGCGATGGCTAGTACGAGTACGGAGGGGCTGCTAAAATCTCAAGGTCATTCTAGGCTGCTTAAACCGCAAAGGACTAAGGAGGCGATTTGTACCTACAATACACGTACACTTGCATCTGAATCTTCGTTTGAAGATTTGGTCTTGCAGACATGAAGGATAAAGTACAACGTCATCGGACTGGCAGAGATGAGAAGACGTCACCCATTCAACATTGTCTATGAAAACGGAGAAGAACTGTTCCCCGGGACACGCGAGTAGAGGAGTTGGCAGTGTCGGCGTTCTTGTTAGCACGAATTTGGTCACAAACCTGCATCCAATAGAACAGCTAACAACCCGAGACGAACGTCTACGACTGAAGAGATGTCGATCAATACCGGCTTTGACAATTTTCGTTATATACGCACCGACATCAGGCTATAGGGACACACAGATTAGAATGGAAGGAGCAAGCTGAGCGGCTCTCTGAGTTTATCATAACCACCAAGAGACATCCATGGTAAGCCACAATTATAGAAGCCTTGCTATCAACGCAAGATGTGGGAGTACACCACCATAAACTGCGATTTATCCGTCTACTTAGTTCGCTCTTGCTACGACGACGTTGTTGATAATATCAACTAGAAATGCGATCGGTTCACCAACATCGTCACGTTAACTCTACGAAAACTAAGTTCATAAGCAACCAAGAGATTTGTGTCTCCAGAACACATTGAGCTAATATTCCAAGTAGAGACGCACGAGACAGACAATCGCCAGCTCACGTCCAGACTTGAGAAATATTGTAGGTAGGTAGTAAAAGAAGGTTTTAAACAAATGAAGAATATCATTCGTAAAGTCCATCGCCTGAACAGCTACAGCTTCCAGAAAGGCGGGGGAGAAATTATTGACAATTTTTACTCGGGTCTTTTCAATACCCACATGCTCCTCTCCTCACACGAAATAGAGGAAATGCCACCCCACCTGTTCTCGCATCCCAGATCTGACATTCTATTTTGTCGGTGAAGAATCGTACAACACCAGGTCTGGGCACGATAAGATCTGAACACCTGAGGAACATTCCTCCATTCCTCACCAGCACACTAGCCCGGTTCTTCAGACGTTACCTTTCAGAGTTCATGGTTTCTATTCAGTGGAAATCGAGCAAAACTGTATTATTGTTCAACAACCGTGACCACCACGATATCGGCAACGATCTCTCAATCTGCTTATTGTCTGGTCGAAGACCAATCTTTCCACAGGCTTTATCAAAGTCGTCAAGCATACGTTCCGCTTGGCTAATATTTGGTATTATAACGACGATGTTATCAGGAAAGCGAAGATGCTGTAATTGCTGACCGTCGTTTTTCACTCCCATATTATCCCATTCCAATGATCGCTTGACGTTCTCGAAGGATGGCGGTGAATAATTTGGCGAGATGGTATCGCCTCGCCCAACTCCTCTTTTGACGTAGATGTTAATATCGTCGTAGAATGGTGATATCTTGGTTATGAAATTTCTGTACAACCAACGAAGAATCTTTGTGTACTGCGTAGGGACTCCTTGGATATCAAGGACTTCCATGACTGCTTCAATGTCAACTGAGTCGAAGGCCTTCTTCGAATCGTTGAAGGTATGACAGAGCGGTCTTTTGTACTCTCGCAATACTTCAATGAGTCTTGTTATCGTATGGATGTGGCCCATTGTACCAAATCCTTCCCGAAACCCTGGTTGCTCACTTGAATGCTCTTAATCCGGTTTTGGGACTTCATTTTTTGAATTTAGCGGCTTTTTCTCCTTTTTGCGAGAAATAGAACCTTGCACGATGGAGGTCTGATCCCGTGTAAAATTTTGGGACAACAGCGACATCGGTTAGGCAAAACCTTCTATTTACACGGTGTGGTCTCGCTATGGTACTCTCCATTGGGAGACTCCCACGTCCAGCGTTGAGGGTGGAGCTTCCGGAATTGCGAGTTACCATGGACGGTCTTGGTCGTCATGATAAACGTAGTGAGCCGCTCACCGTATTCATTCCATTCTAATCCCTTTGTTCCAGCGTGGCGTTCTTCAGACGTTCTTCTTGGTTCAGTTTTGGCGCTAAAATTTCCAATGATGACCTTGAAGAATGTACGGTCTTCTCTATAGAATTTCTCCAAGTCAATATAGAATACTTCGAGTTCTTCTTCGTCATAGTTTGATGTCGGCGCGTGAAGACGGAGATTGTCAAAGCCGGTATTGATCCACATCTTCTTAACCGTAAACGTCCGATTCGGGGTTTTTGTTGTTCGAATGAATCGATGTCAATAGACATGCTCGTGTTGATGAGAACTCCGAGGCCGCCGACTCCTCTACTGTCGCATGTTCCGAGGAACAGTTCTTCTCTGGTGTCATAGATGGCGTTGAATGGGTAGAGTGGTCTCATCTTGGCCAGGTCGATGACATCGTATCTTGTCCTTATTGCTTATGTGAGCAAGTATTCTATCTTGGACTCGGATGCAAGTGTACGTGCATTGTAGGTGCAGATCGTCACCATAGTTCTTCGCGATCTAGGTAGCTTCCATTGGCTCTGAAATTTTAGTAGCCTTTCCGTACACGTCCTACCCAACGCTGCCGAAATGGGGCTCTTTCGGGGTTAGGGGATTGAGACCCGTTTCTTTCAGCGTTTTAAGCTTTTTTGATACACACGTATAGCTTGCTGGGCTCTGAACGTTGGCGCTGGGTATACTCATGGGTAGATTGGTAGCTTGCCAGTCTCTCCCAGAGTGGACATAGAGCTTATTTGTTAGGGGTGATTTCTAACCGCCCCTATGTACTTCCCTATCACTTGATTAGAGGCTTTTAGCCTAATTGACTCGTTGAATACAATCCGCATAAGCAAGAACGCACCCACACACGCTTGCATGAATACGGCTCGTAAGTACAAAAAGTATGTGCCAAATCGGCGAAGCAGAAACAGGGAGTCCATTCCTGGATCCACCTGCGTCTCAGGGAAGCAAAGGCCGCTTTTGGTCTGCGATTAACCCCTTATCTGCTACCTGGGGACGCGCCACGGATCCTAGCGACTAATCGGCTCAAGATCCCTCATATGAGCGAAATCCGTGGCCGAAAACTGATCTTGCTGGTCGTTCTAACATTTTCTATCTGCAAACGAACGCACATTCTTCTGGTATAAGGGAATATTCGGAGATTCGGAGAACTGAAGACTGTTGAAGAGAATAAATGAGCGTAGAGTTTCGGGTAAGTTAGGCGGTGGCTTTTTGAGAGACACGAATGCGGCTCATGGTGTTTACTGCAATTTTCGGTCGAAATGTAGAATTGATAATGGAAAATTTCTACACCAACCTTTTACTTTCCACAGTTCTCATACCAAACCCTAAAATTCCAACTGGGAAAAAACCACCTGAAATTCTTCATTCGGTGGTTCGAGTTGCGAAAGAAAGCATGAAAAGAGGACCTGATGCTACCGCTAACTTCCATAGAGGTGAAAGCCGAAATTTACGTGCACCTTTCGCAAACCATATGACGGCCAATCTTCAAAAGGAGAAAACCCCAAACCAGTGTAGAACGTCGCGCACCGTCATCCTACCTAAGGCAGGTGACCGAAGCTATCTTCGTAACCATCTTCCGATATGACTGTCTAGTGTACTCTACAAGCTCTTCGCGATGGTTATCCTGTCGCGCATACGAAGAGCACTGGATGAGGCTCAACGAGTTGAGCAAATAGGGTTTCGACAGGAATTTTGCTGCATAGACCGCGGCCAAACTGTCTCCAGTGTCATTGAAGTTCATCGGGAATACCACCTGCCTGTGGTCCTGACATTTCTCGACTATTAAAAAGCGTTTTACAGTATTGAAACGAATGCAATCCTATCAGCGCCCCTCAACAACAGAGTGGACTTGTCCTATATATGAGCTTTAGCAGAGTATGATCAGAACTGCAGTATAATTATTCACTTTTTCCATGGACCCCTTCCAGTACCCAAAGAAGAGAAAGGTTCGACGAGGCGACACAATGTTACCAAAGATGTTTACTGTCGCAATGTGGTGGATAATGAATTCACTCGACCGGGAAGAGAAGGGCCACATATTGATGGATAATTCTTGTAATATCTTCGTTTCACCGAAGACATCTTCATAATGTCATGAAACACCAACGGTGGAAGGAATTAGACATAAGAAGGGGAGCTTGGATTGCAATCAGGACTCTCAAAGAAGCCACTGGCCAGGTAAAGGATCCGCAAATCCGAGCTCACGTTTCGATTCAGCAGTCCTCCTAACCAGAGCTGTTTTACGGATAGCGGTGTGCGATTCGCATGAAACGAATGAAAAATGTGTTGTGGTCCGCTTAACTCGTGAAGATGGGCCGAACAAGTACCCAGTTGGTTAAGTATCCAATTAGTAAGTAAGTTGCTACTTGTGACGAGTGTACTTCGATTCCTTACATCTCGTTATTCTATGCGTTAATCAAGATTTATCGAGGTAATTGAATGTGAAATAACGTTAAGCACTCAAAATGTAGCTTTTACATGCCTTGCTAAATAGAAAATGCTGCTAATCCGATGATTTCTCATCAATTTTCGCTAACAAGAGACGGAGAACTGTTGCCTGAACAGCCATGGTAGAACAAGAAGATAAAAGAAAGGATTATATGATAGATCCCAGGATCTACTTTCTCTTAACCTCGGCATTGGAATATGAATGTGTCGTTTTCTTGTTCAGCAATCGCGAGGTTTTTAAACAGCATACATTTACTTCCATAAAAACACAATACAATACAACGCTAGCTGACGTTTCGGCAGTATCGCCTTCTTCAGAGCCGCTTTTTCGTGACTTCCAATGAGGAAGTTTAGAACAGCTGATACGGGTGTGCACTATCACACTAAGGGTATATGTTAGAACAACGACTAGAACTGAACATCGATGAATTATTCTCCATTAAAGGTGACAATGAAAAGCTAGAGATATGCAGGAAAAGTGGACGGAACCCCTTGGGCATGATAGTGATAAAGTTGGCAAACGGCTCTCTAAAAACGTGCTATCTTGCAGCAAAAGAATCGTCGATGACAAGCAAAATAATGTGGATAAACAACTTTTGTTTCCTTGCTGAGAACAGACCTATTTCTCCAAGTTTTTGTGGCCAATATTTCGAGCCGATCAAGTAAAAACCATTGAACTGCCACAGATGCGGGATTATTACAGCGCCATTCTTGCTTTTGCATACCATCTCTTCCTTTCCATGTTATGACAAAATATAAACTTTGAAATCTCTTAACCAACTTCAGTTCAACTTCAAATCTGCCAAAGACGAAAGAGCTGACCGAAGAGAGAGACTGTATTAAATTAGAGCATTACTCGAGGTTATCAATGGGAACTGAAACAAAATAAGGAAGCCAAGTAAATAGATGTTATCGACAAATCACTCAGGACCCACGTTATTTACACTGTGCAGTAAATGCTGTTAAATTCACAGAATTTCAGTGAATGTGAGTAGTGAGCCCTGCATAGTTGTGATGTGGCTTAGTCTGAATTGGTGAGGACCATGCCCGATATGCTGGACGAAAGGGAACATCTCTGTTAGGGCTATCGATACCGAGGTATTATTTTTGTTGAGCACATTGTCTAGAGAAAAGCCTAACTTGCTTGCTACTTGTAGAAAAGAGGGGGAAGGGTTTCATTACTAGATCAACCATCTAAAGCTGGAAACGGAATAAGGGGCAGCAAAACGTAATTAAAGCGGTACAACGGGCTTAAAGTGGAAAGATGACACGAAAAATTTTATGATAACCACTGCCCATGACGCTCCATTCTCCTGAACACAATACGATCACTGGTTATTAGAAGTTACAACCTGGGGAAGCTCATCGTAGGCGCAGGTAAGAATATGGCAGCTATGCGTATGGTTTCTCATTCACCTGCTTGCTCAGACTTGTATATAAAATTTATGGTGAGTCTGTGGGGATAAATGGCAACGCTGAAGGGCTTCAACATGTGCATCTATTTATGTTACATTGCAAGCGAAAATGCCTCAACGCCGACGACTCTCATTTCCTTGAATAAGGCGATTCCAGTGGGTCGAAAACGTCAAGACGATATTGCGGAATACTAAAAAGCAATCTCAAGGTATAACGACCGAAAGTATCCAGCAAAGCATGCCATGCTATATTCAGTGCAGAATATGTAAATAATATGCATGTACAAATTACAAATTGCAGATATCAGGCAAATGCTTTCTACCGGAACATTTAGAACGTCATCCGGGGGTTTTTGATATTAACACTTGAGGGCTAATTCTAAAGAAACCCACTGACGAAAGCATCTTTTGTGAAAACAGAGCCACTATGAGAAAGTTTCTTTAAAGATTTCATCTGGTGAGGATTAGAAAAAGTCCGTAAGTGTCATTGACGTCAATAAATATAATAACGGTATGACTCAAAGGACCGACTTTCTATAAACCTCAGAATTAAAAATCGACATATCTATACACACGTTCTAAGTACTGACTATTATCAATGAAGAGAGTTACTGTAGTAACAATTTTATTCTTTTTGAAGAGAGGGATTTTTCACCGATGTTTGACAAATTCCTAGCACTTCATCATTGGTTGTATAACCGCCCTTTTAATAGTGGATTCATGATACATCTAGTTTTCTGGCGCTTTTAGTTTTAAGGCTGGTGACGTTATTTAGAACTTTTCAGCAGTGTTT